GAAAGCAGGACTAGAAGCAACATTCATTACTTCTTCCCACATTCCATTGGCTAGAACTTCCCACATACCAAAATCTAATTGCAAGGGAGGTCAGAAAATGTAGTTTTCTCATAGAACCAAGAAAAGAAAAAGGAAATGGGATTTGGTGAATACCAGCATTTTCTCTGTGCATCTTACCTCCCCTAATAAAATAACCTCCATGCCCCACAACACATGAGTAGCGGGAGCTGTAGCTCAGAAACCTGAGTGTCCTCACTTTCCTCCAGGCTCATCAGCCCTGCGGCGTCTCTCGCTAACCGATACTGCGGCCATGCTGACCTCAGAGGACACTGTTTTCACTCTGCCAGAGTGAGGTTAAACATCTCACTATACTGCATTTTACCAAAGACTGGGGGGTTGATGTATGTGGAATAAACAGAGTTGCTAATTTTTTAGTGGAATTTATGCATCTTTATCTTGAGTTTTCTACTGAACCACCTCCCTGCCACACTCCTGTCTTATAGCGATAGGTCAGAGGTCACCTGACCTCTGCCACCAGGAATGATGACACACAGGTCTTAAGCCCACAAAATATAAGCTTGGCATGTAAGGGGGAGCAGTTAGAGAGAGGAGGGGATGGTCACGTGAGCGGAGGGGGGACGCCATCCCTCCCAAACTCCTCACGAGGAAAGCTGTTCTAACTCTTATACTTTTAATAGAGCTGACAAACACATATGGACTCAACTACCCAAATCATGATTCATAATCACGTACCATTTGACCGATAGACTTTATGGGAACTACCTGTCCTATATCTTTGTCCTCTGAGCCTTCAAACATGTGGCATTACTGTGGCTTGACATCCAGACCCAGGAAAAGAAGCCTCGAAGAGAGAGAGAGTGTTCCCGGCTTGACTTTCCCATCTGAGGGGTCACGTTTCTGGGTGATGGGCATGGGAGTGGCTGCTGATATTGGGAAAGGTTCCCTACTTGCAGGGAAACCCACAAATTTCCCACAGGGCAGTGGTCTTCCTTTGATCTCAACAAGACAAGCAGAGGAGAAAACATCTTAATAATTCATCTGGGTGCTTTATCCATGACATAACTGATGGTAGTGGACAAAGACATTTTCCTTATAAGAATCTAAAGGGTCACTACATCCAAGCACAGCTTCTGGCACAAAGTAGGTGTTCAGATTCTTGGTGACAGGCCATGAAAAGGAATGCAACTCGCCTTGGTCCTGTTTGCTTAACACCCTTCCAGAGAGCTCTCACTAAATTGTGATACACCATGAAGATGATTACCTAGATAAGCACAAAATTGAGATGTGAGCTTCCTGCAAGGCAAAAGATAAACAAGCTGGATTATAGTTTTTACAAACTAGTGAAAAAAAGGAAGGAGACCCTTTCTTGAACCCATATAAGTTTATCCTTACATAATTCTATCCTTAAGTAATTTTATCCTTAAGTGATTTGTCTTTAAGTAACTGCATACCTTGTGGTAATCACACCACATTTCTGCACGGTTTATCCACCCCTTTCGACCTTCCCATCGCCCTGTCCTCTACGTGCTACTGTCTTCACTTTTAACCACCCTGCTTTCCTTGGCTTTGTATTGTCCACTCCCTCAAGTCCTTCTGGAGGCAGCATGGAGTGGAGGAGGGCGCAACAGCCTGGGGCGGAGCAGAGTCCAGACGGAGAGTCAGGTGTGTATTCTGCTTGGCCAGGGCACTTGTCGGGACCTTCCTGAGCCTCATTTTCCTCACCCGTAAACTAAGGATAACATCTTTTATCTCACCGTATTGTCACAAGGAAAAGAAGAAAATACATGCAAACCGTGTACCTCATTATGCAGTGGGCTCTCAAATTCAAGTTCCTTCCCTCTTCTCTCTCTTTTGAAAGTGGTCAGGATATAAATTATACATAAATAAATTGCATATTACACTGGAAATCCTCAGAAATGATTAATGTAACCGACAATAATTTTGATATTAAGAACAGGGTACCCCGGCAGCACCATCCTAATCCCGACAATCAGTTACCTGCTCTGGCTCTGTCGTCATGTAAAATCTAGTGCTTAAAGTTTATGCTAGAAAGAGGTGAATGCATATGATTTCCCATTTTCAGGTATTCTTTTTTAAAAAAATATTTTATTTTTAAACAGAGGGGGAGGGAGGGAGAAAAAGAGGGACAGAAACATTAATGTGTTGTCGCCTTTCCTGCGCCCCCTACTGGAGACCCGGTCCACAACCCAGTCATGTGCCCTGACTGGGAATCAAACCAGCGACCCTTTGGTTCACAGGCTGGCACTCAATCCACTGAGCCACACCATCCAGGGCTCATTTTCAGATATTCTTAAAATCCTTTTTTTCACATCACAGTATTCTGCTACGAACCATTTCTTATGGTGCAAAGGGTAAACAATATGTTTCCCAAGAAATGAACAAAGTGAGACATGAATGGAAACACTGAAAAGATACAAACAATATCTAAGGCTGAAAGTAAGGCATGGAAGCACCAAGGACATGCTGGAAATGCTGACTTTTACTGCTCAGTATGCCAAAGCATGGATGGGACCTTCCTGGGGACTGAGCCACGTCATCCCCAGTACCAGGAGAAGCCAACTGAAGCTAGGGGCTTGAAAGAGAGAAAGGTCTAGAAGATTTTGAGCCCAGCTATCTGGTAAGCTTTCTCACTGACTGTTTTCAAAATTGAGTTTGGGGAGAACAAATATTATGCTCCCAGACCCTGAGTTTATTATTCTGCATTTCTGTAAGATTTAAAAGGAAGCAACCAGAATGGTCGTGAACGTGGGCTCGGGGGCACACTGCTTGTACTGGAACGTCTGCTCCTCCACCCGCTGTGTCACCCTGAATCTGCGACTTAACTCGTATGTGCCTCTGTTTCCTCTCCTGGAAAATGAGGATTAAAATAAGGACTAAATAAGGTGATGTTTGCAAGGGCTGGGGCACTGTCCCCGGCAGGCAGTGCACTCGGTCAGGCACTTCTGTGTCCATGTTAAGTGCAGATCACAGAGAGTCATCCTGACCTGAACTGGCAGCAAGCCATCGAAGCACCTTGTGGATGTACGGGGTCTCATACGTCTTTATCCAGTTGGGTCCAGCCCTGAATTTCACACCCCAAACTCCCCACCACGCTGTGTTTTGCAGCTGCCTGTTCTGCTCCCACCCTCCCAGGGCAGCAGCATGCATGATGGCTCCTCGCCTCAAGCTAGGGGCAAGGACGGGGCTCCAAAGCAAATTGGGGTCGTTACAGGGAAATAAAACCCTGCTACTTCATTTGCACATCCAAGCATAGCATGTGCATTTTGACCTTGACCCAGCCACCACCACTAATGGAGGAGGAGAGGGAAAAGAAAGAGGAACTGAATTTTGGGTGGCTGTAGAGATTTTCACATGGCACATTAATCCTTAAGCCAAGATTGCCAGCCCTCTTCTCCAGGTTTACAGAGGAGGGACGTACTCTCAGAGGGGGTTGCTGACATTCCCAAGGTCAACAGCTCCTGGGGAAACTGGGTTTACCGCCTAGAGGATCGTTAGGTAATAATAGAGAATCCTGCAGGGTTCCAAGAGTCATGGTTCTTAAGCCTACTTCTTCAGCCCTGAGAGCCAACCAGTATTAGTGCCCACTGCATCCTATGACCTACCATTGTCCTTTGTCCTGAACCAAACCAAAAAGCACAGAGCTCCCAGTCCTTCCTGGTCCAGGGAGGTGAGAGCCCTCCTGGCCCACTCCCTCCCCCTCCTCGTTTGTATGTTGACTGAGGCCACCAGGGGGAGCCCTTGCATTAACAGCAAAGGGAATTTGACCACCCAATTACCAGCGGGTGCTGGGACGAGGGCTCTATGCTCTCCTGAGAGTTTCTGCAGAAGATTCCTCATTATACTGTTTGCAAATGTATGCAAGACATTCTTGCCTTGGACTAGAGTGAGGACGGGGGTGTGAGGGAAAGTGACAGGGGTGCCTTTGACCAGTCCCTCGTTTAGCTTGGAGGAGTGGACTGCAGTCTGATTGTGTGCAGTGCCCACAAGGCAGCATGGGTCAGACTGTGAGTCATGAAATCAGTGTAGTGGTGTGTGCTACCCTCTGATTTTTTTAAATTCAGTGGTACATCATAGCTTAGAAAAGGACGGGAAACACCAGTGCGTCATGCACAAAGGAAGAGTGATTAACAGTTTTGAGAATTTCTTTATTTTAGTGTGTATGTCTGTGTACCCAGTCACAATGTAAAAGCTGTATCTTATTGCAAGGCATTAATTATTAAAACACACTAACCTAAGAAGCTTATTTAAAATCAATCCAGATTCCCAGACCTCAGACCTAATTTTTCACAGATTCCCTGGCAGCTGTAATGATGAGCCAGGTGTAGGAACCACCTCCTATAGGAAATGGGTACACGGGTGGGCTTCTCCTCACCTGCCCTCCACTCCTCCCCCTGCACAGGGCAGGAGAGGCTTTTCACTCTACCAGCTTGGCCCTGACAAGCAAGAAAAGTCACACAGAGGGCAGTTGCCGCTGCACAAACTACATGCTGTGCCAGCCCCAACCCCCCACTCCCCAGGACAGGTGTGAGAACTGGCAACTGAGGACTGGGTTTCCAGTGCCAGCTGTCAGAAAAACAAAAGCAAAAACCAAAACAAAATCAGGTCAGAGTCAGGCAGACCTGGGTTCAAATCCTGCTGCTTTTACCTTTTACCTTTGTGACCGTGAGTGGGTTATAGGATCCCTCTGGGCCTCAGTTAATAGCCTTTCCCAGGGCTGTGGTAGGATTTAAGTATAATAATGTATCCCAGTGCTTAGATAGTCCCTGGCCAAAAGCAGATGCTCCGTCATAGCAGCTCCCTTCCTGGCCCTCACAGTATTAGTGCCCACTGCAAGCTTTGGTTAGTGCCCTTTGCTCCTCACAGTATTAGTGCCCTTTGCTCCCTGCAAGCTTAGGTAGGCACACTCTGTTCCCTTCACAGCCATCCTTGTGGTCGGGGATAGGCCAAGGCTGTGCCCTTGGAGATTACACTGTCCAGCTGAGTGTTATGTACTAACAAGAGCCCTGCCACCCCCATTCCGCATCGACTCCCCCGCCTCAGTACAAAGGGAACTCCCTGGGAGAGTGACTGTCAGATCAGCCCGCTGGGGAACAGTGTGGAGTGGCCCTCGCTGAGAGGGCCAGGCTCAGTCAGACTTTGGACAGAAGAGTTTCCCTTTCCCCGCTGCAGGTGCCTGGTCCTGCAAAACTTGGCAATGGAGGCTTCTGCGAGCCCCGCTGCCTGTGAGAATGCTCCGGCCCCAGGAGAGGGAGGAGCTGCCGCCCAGGTGAGGCAGGTGCAGAGCCTGGGCTCAGGTGAGTCCCAGGCCGTGGGAAGTGACTGCTCCCCGGCCAGCACAGACACACCAAAAACTGCCCTCGGACTCAGGATCCAGGTCTGGGAAGCTGGGTTTGTCTCCCAGACGCTGCCTCAGAGGAAAGCCATGGATGAGGTAAGGCATGTGGGTTTGGTTGTGGTTTTCTCTGTGTCTGACTTACCTGGTCTAGTTCCTCCCAGTACAGAGCTCGGGGGGAAAGGCTGCCTGTGCACCCCGCCTCCTGGAGAGGAATGAACACATCCCGTGCTAGTGCCAAGCACTTGTACTGGCCTTGCTCCCGGGGAAGGTGGGGCTGAAGCAGGGCTGTACTGTGTTGTGGGCCCCTAGGAAGGGAAGTGGGCCCGAGGCCCTCAGGACTGCTGGCAGGAGGGACTCCAGCTCTCATCCTGCTGGCTGGGTTTCTAACCTAGTCCTGCAGCCTGGTCTGAGCGCCTGTTGGCTTCTTTAGTTTGCTCTTCTGGACTCTCCCTCCTGGTGGTGGTTAGTGGGTGTCCTGGACAGAGGGTGTAGGACAGAGCTGTCTGGTGATGCTTGTGGCTTTTCAGTGGGCTCTGCTCCTTATTAGCTGTGAGGCCTGAGGCAAGTGAGTTTTTCCTCCTGGGTCCCAGGGTCCCTCACTTCCAAAGCAGGATTACCAGCAGGTTTCATTCAAGGTCTTTTCCTTATAACAGTAATGAGATGCCATAGGAACTTAACTCTTGTTTATATCAAATAGCCTATTGTAAATTGGTTGTTTCAAGTTGCAGAACCTTTCAACATGTTAAGTGAGGACTCAGGGTGCTACCAGAATAACTAGTTTGTGAGATTATTAAAGGTGCTTGTAAAAATGGAGGTGGCCTCTGGGGAAGTGCACAGCCCAAAGCCAGGCGGAATTCCCTTCTCCTTGGATGACAGGGTGCTGTTTGCATAGTTGGAGAATCCTTTTGCCTGACAGACTGCATCTTGCTTTCTCCTCCTCCGATTTTGTACCTCTTCATTCCTCTCTTCAAGAAATCCGTTTCTTTCAAAGGGAGGCAGAGGTGTGTTTTGCTTCCATATCTTCTTTATCAGGCATTTGGGGTTAAGCCGTGTTCTGAGGTGAATCCTGCATCTTCCTTCTCGGAGGCGTGGCTTTACACTGATTGAGACCGGGGATCCCTTTCGGTGTTGCCCCTCCGGAAAAGCTCCGCCTCGCCTCAGGGTCTGCGGCCTGGTCTGTCAGAGGCAGGTCACTCCAGTTCAAGTATGTGAACTATGTCACATAGTTCATCTACATGGCAGTACAGCAAGGTCAATGCCATTTACCCATTTTTTTTAATAGAGGAGGAACCAGATGGTCAGAATGTTGTCACTTGCTCAGTATCACACAGCCGGTCAGTGGCAGGGCAGGAGCATGATTTTAGATTTGTCAGTAATGATGCTCAGTGTCAGTTATAAGCCAGACACCACTAGCAAGGATTACAACAGAGAACAGATAGAATGTCGGGCAATTTAGAGAAAAATCTACAAAAGGGCATGTTAGCTAATCCCATATTTATGGGATAAGCAAATGTGGTTATGCAACTTTTTTTCTGCTCAGAAAAAGGAAAAGAAGATCAAAGGAGAAATATGGGTTATTCCCCATTTTTAAATCTACTTATTTTAAAAGTCAACAAATACCCATTTACATGTATGTGTGTGTATAAATATATATATACATATATATATAGTTTGAGCGTGTATGTATACAAAACTATCATATTATATTCCAGGATATTATTTTGCACACAGCACTCCTGCAAGACTATAAGCAGAACTCTCCAAACCAGCTCACCCACCAGTGAGATGCCACTGAGTGAATTTCATTTATATATATATATGTATATGTATATGTATATACATATATATATTCTAAGTATCCACATTGTGTTTTCAGGTCCTGTTTCCGGTGCTGCAGGTTCAGCAGTGACCAGCCCCAAACACCTGCCTTTATAACACGGATATTCTAGTGGGGAAGACAAATAAACATACACATGTATGTGGTCAAGTGGCAGCAAGTGCCATGTGAAAGCACGAAGCAGGGAAGGGTTTAGGGACAGTGAGGCAGTGGGAGAGGCTATTTTAAACGGGATTATTTCAAACAAGGCAACAGTGGAAGGTAAGTGTAGAGCAGATGCTTGGAGGGGGTGTGGGGGTTGACTCTGTGGATATCGTAAGGACTTTCTAGACAGATCACAACCGATGTAAGGCCAGGAGGCAGAAGCTCGTCTGGTATGTTCAAGGAGCAAGAAAACGGCCGGAGTGGCCGGCACAGAGGAAGCAAAGGAGGGAGTGCTCAGACGTGGTGGTCGGGCCATGTGGGGCTCTGGAGACCAGTGCAGGGACTCCAGAACTCTCCCTGGGTGAGATGGGGAGCACCTGAGTGTCGTGAGCAGCACGGTGGAATGATCCAATTTATATTTTGAAAGGATCGCCTGGCTATTGTTGTTTTAAAAACAGATTATAAAGGAGAGCAAGATTAGAAGCTGTTTACCCTGGTAGGAGGCTATTGTTGAAATCTAAGAGGCGCAGTGGCTCAGACCAGAGTCTTGGTGGTAAAGGTGCCAGAAATGGTCAGATTCTGGTCAGAAAAGGCAGAGTCAACAGGACTGACTGATGGATAGGACAAACATAATGTGAGAGGAAGTGAGTGTCAAGTGTGAAGCCTGGGCACCTGGAAGAATGGGGTTGACATTTAATGAGATGATTTAATATGGAACAGGTTTGCAAAGAGGTCGGGAGTCAGTCTGGGACAGAGTGACCTGTCAGGTGAGGGACCAAGTTGGCAGCTGGATATTTGGGCTTTTAGTTCAAGAGAGAGGCCCGGGCAGGGTGTATAATAATTAAGATGACAACATATTTTGCCATGTATAATGCCCACTTTTTTGCCCAGATTTCTGAGGGAAAAATTAAGGATGCATATTATACACGGATAGGACTAACTCCGTATTTATATGTTTCTAACTCTTTCATTTATGCTTTTGCATTAAAAGTGTAGCTCTAGGAAGCAATAATGATATCTGTGTGCAAAATAATACCCTGGAATACGAAAAACAGCTTTGTTTCTAAAATAAATAATTGAACTTAAAAATTAAAACAAAAGATCTTTTTCCTGAGAGTTTGGGCCAAAAACGTGGTTGAGCACTGTACCCCAAAGCACATTCTACACAGCAAAATACGGTAGGTAGATCTTTGTAATCCAGCATGATGTCGGGTGCGCCGTAATGTTGAATGTGTGTTGCTGCGGTGGTTCTGAAACTCGCCGACACGTTCTCTGAGATTTCTGCCACCGAGATAGAGTCTGTGTTTCCTTCCCTTGAATCTGGGCAGAGTCATGACTGCCTTGGCTGATGGAGTAGGACACATGGACATTATGTGACTTTGGCGTCTGTATCGTAAAAGGCCGTGCAGCTTCTGCCTCATTCAGGCTGAGAACGCTCATCCTCATAGTCCTCGGGCCCCTGTAAGAAACCCCAAGCTTTCCTGCTACAGTTACCTCTTGAGGACACTCTGATTGACAGTTCCAGCTAAGCCTACCCTAGCACTCCTGCAAGGCTAGAAGCAGGACCCTCCCAACCAGCCCACCCACTGGTGAGATGCCACTGAGTGAATATCATCAAGGCCCTCTAGGCCTGGAGAATCGCCCCGCTGAATCTTGCCCAAATTCTTAACCCACAAAATCATGCGATATGCCAAAATAGTTATAGTTTCAGGCCACTCCATTCAGGAGTGGTTCGTTTTGCGTCAGTACCTATCTGAACAAGTGTGTGGTATAGACACCCAAACAGAGGATGGTTGGTGAGTTTCTCCTTTTCTAAACCTGAGAGTGAGCTTCTACCTGTGGCACTTCCACAGCCAGGTGAGTTTTCGCTTAGTCACACAGTCTCGGTAAAAGAAAACACAGCATTTCTGAACTGTGAATGTTTCTAGTTGAAAGGCTACAAAATGGCCCTTGAATTTTAAAGAATGAAAATTGAAATTGTAGTTGAAAGACCTATATTTGTGTTTATCTCTGCCTCTTATTAGTCAAGTGATTTGAGCAAGTCACTGAATAATAAAATGTAGGAGTTCGGAGATTTCTGAAAGACTGACCGGTCTAACACGTCCCATTTTAGAGATGGGAAAACTCGAGGCCCACAAGGAGAAAGTGACAACATACGTTGTAGCTACTTATCCACGGCACCTCACACATAGTGGATGTGCTCGTTAATGAGCTTTTTAATTTTGACGGTAAACTCTGAGACGACAGATCACTATACCTCATTCTTTTATTATTGGATAGATATTTACCAACCATCTTCTATGAGTCAGGCTGTATCTTAGAATTTCTGAGAGGGTTGTAGATGCCATCCAGTTGCTCATTTTTGCATGGGAGAGTGTCAAGAATACAGGCAATTGCAGTATTATATGAGAAGTAGTACGATAAAGGCACAAGCTCCAATGAGAGCCTGAGAATGGGTGCCGAGCCCATGTGGATTCACTTAGGGTGCATTGGAGGAACTGGCATCTGAACTGAACGTCGGAGTGGGAGTAGGTAGCATTTCATCAGGAAAGAGGGAAAAAGCAGGGGACAAGGGGAGCAGGTGTGAGCAATACGATGGGGCGAAAGTTCAGAGGACCCTCCTGCAGTGAGAGGTTGATGAAGCAGGCATTGTTAAAAAGTTTTTTAATTAAAATAAAAAAAGAAAGAGCGGCCAGAATCAAATCCCAGTAAGAAAATTGGGGCTAGATATTGAAAGACCCTGAATCCACTTGTACTTTATCTCACAAACCAAGGGGGCCAGTCAGGTGAACTAAATGTCCCCCGAGGTCTAATCATACTCTGACTTTCTGGGCCTGCAGAATTCCTCAAGGTCATATGTGACTTGTTTTTGCCAGGTCCTGAATTCCTGTGAGACCACTTAGCAAGCCCTCAAGAACAGTTTTAGAGATTTTGAACTGAATAATCTGATTCTTAATGAATAAATCACAAGACGAAGTAACATGTTAAAAAAAGGAAGAAAGAAAGAAAAGAAAAGTAGAGCAGCCAGGTGAGAAGGACCATGCTGTAAAGATGGCCTTTGGTCACGAGACTGCTCCCGGGAGCCCTGGGATTTAGGTCGGGTCATTCATTTCTG